TCAGACATTTCCCTGAACAAGGATAAATTGGTGTTTTCCAAATCGCAGGCTGGTTGAGTGGTGGAGGCCTCGGAGTATGACTTCGCATTTGTGACGAATTTTGCTGACGAACATCTGTCACGAGTCATCAGTCAATCAGTCATCCGAGTCCAAATCTGCTTGTCATAGTCAATATCAGTCATATAGGTATGGCCGTTAATTTAACCGGTTCCAAATTTCAGCAGAACACATGGTACGCAGCTGTTCCTCGTAGCGGCATGCTGTCGCTGATCCATTGCCAGTGGAATCTCAAAACGGAGAAAATGAGCAAAAGATATGCTGATTGCTGTGGATTGAACTGTTATTTCTTATTTTGGACAAATCACTTTGACGGAAATGTACCATAGCCAACCCTGCGAAATTCGGAGCGCGGAATGAGCGCTCGGGCTTCCGGCGGCGACGGCATCACGATAGGCATGATTCGCATGACTCTCCCAGTGATTGGCCCAGAACTGCTGCATGTTGTGAACGCTTCCCTATCGACTGGAGTGCTACCTACGCCGTGGAAGGCGGCAGATGTTATACCACTGCATAAGTCAGGCTCTAAACTCGAACCGAACAATTATAGGCCAGTATCGATTCTTCCAACAGTTGCAAAAATTGTAGAACGTATTGTCTGTGAGCAACTTATGACTTATCTGATAGATCACAATATCCTATGTAATGAACAGCACGGATTTAGACCAGGACACTCTACTGAGACAGCTATGCTTCATGTAATCGGCCACGTAGTTGAAAATTTGGATTCCGGCCTTATTTCATGTATTACGACGGCGGACACGTCTAAAGCTTTTGATTCCGTTAAGCATTCCAGACTGTTAGACAAATTAGGATGGTATGGCGTAGGGTGAAGTCGTATAAGAGTACGCACTTAGTGGATTTCTTGCTCTCATTTGTTTAATATTTGAAGGAAAGAAATCGCAAATAGGGAATATTAAAGTTCATTGAATTAGCCATCAACCCATGGGGCAACGATCCTTCAGCGTAAATGGAAGTGGTCTAAAACTGACATTTTCTGAACCGTTGCACTTGCGTACTCTTACCATATGGGGTGTGTAAGAGTACGCACGCCAGGCGGGTGGAGTACGCAAGCATATGAACACACACCTATGCAGCTTGCACTGTCCAAATGCTTAACTTCAAACTCAGAAGGCATTTAAGTTAATTCTAGTGTCCAAAAAGAAAAACATAAAATAAATCTTTCAAGTCTATAAATCAGGAAATAATCATGTCGTGTGTTTCTTAAAAAAATGCACAATCAAAAAGGAGAATAACTCGTATTTGGAAGAATTTCGGGTACGCATCTGCATCACAGTGCTCCATTGATGATATACCTACAAAACAAACGTCATTGAGCGATAGATTAATAACTCTATATTTCTGTATATTCGATTTAATGTATAATTCTGCGTACTCTTACCCTCCTGAACAGTGCGTCCTCTTACCGTACATGCAATTCGCGCACAAAACAACCCCGAAACGTTGTGCAAAACTTCGCAAACAGAATATTGCACTGTACAGTATTTCCCCAGATAACCTCACAAGTTTCCCACAACAATCACGGAAATGTACCTTATCTCAACAGCCAAGTATCAAAATTATTGTACCATATCAAAATAATATCATAACGCTCGAAAATAATATTCATCGCCTTAAACTCAACAGCGTCGCCGCTCAACGCCCACGTTCCGTTGGTGACATGCACGCACTGGCGGCTTCATGTCACTTCATGAACTCGACAAACCCGCGTTGCTAAGCAACCGAAACAGCTGATGCGTACTCTTATCGCCCGCGTACTCTTACCCGCCCTTACCCTATGTACCCACTGGTTTGAAAACTGGCTAACCGAGCGTTCTCAGCGTGTTAGGGGAGGAACGACAGCTGCGCCTGTCACGCACGGCGTGATCCAAGGTTCATTGCTAGGGCCGATCTTGTTCCTTCTATTCACCAACGACATGCCAGCTTACTTTGATGACTGTAAAATCGTAATGTATGCTGATGACACACAATTTGTCCACTCGGGTAATCCATCAGACTTACCCGACCTTCGGCAGCGCGTAGAAGCAAGTCTAAAGGTGGCGAGTGTTTGGTTTGCGGACAATAGCTTGCGCATAAACCCATCTAAAACCGACGTTATGGTCGTCAGGTGTAGGCAGCGACGTGTCACGTGATGTTGACTTTTGTATTAACTTTGACGACACTATTATTAATCCATCACCATCAGTCAAGGTTTTGGGCGTGTCCGTTGATTGTAATCTAACATGGGTTTCGCATGTGTCGCTGGTGGTGCGTCGTTCTTACGCAATTATCAGCGGTCTGGGCAAGATGTCTCGCCGTTTGCCATCTGAAGTGAAGATATTTTTAATCGAAGCACTGGTGTTCCCTCACATTTTATATTGTTTGACTGTATATGGTGCTTGTGGTTTAACTCAACGCCACCGCCTGCAAAAAGTTCTTAATCACTGTGCTCGCATCATCTTTTGTGCTAAAAGGTACGATCATGTTTCACCGCTATTAAAGCAGCTCCACTGGCCGACCATTGAGGACCTCATAACTGAACGCGATATGGCCATGTTATTTAGAACCATACCAGGGTTGTATACCAATCAAGTCGATTGAATTGATTGATTTGTTTCAACGCGTATTTTGAGTTGATTGGATTGAGTCGATTGACTTTTCGAGATGACTGGTTGACTGACTCGTTTGACTTTAGCGACTGGTTGACTGATTTGATTCCCGAAAATTAGAGTGACTCGTATGATTGAGTCGATTGAATGGAAAGTTCAAATAAGTTTTAGTTGACGAAAAATAATGACACCAATTGATGACATCAAAGAGCACAAAACTACACTGAAAACTGCTTGTCATCACAACTGCAATATGGGGTAGATGGCCAAATAAAGAACAGGGCCTAAACATGAACAGCCAACTTTGACTTTCAACTGCAATAACTGCTCCAATCCTGGTGATAGAACCTGGCGATGCACCTACCTACCTTTCTGCACTCAGCAGGAAACGTTTTTTTTAATCCAGATGATAAAGTGCAAAGCCCTATATACTAATAAAGTGTGATTAATTAATAATTCACATCTCCACACCTCCTCAGAAACAACCCACTGAACTCTATAAATATCTGAAACCCCTACAAAAATAACTGAAACAAAAGCGCCGTTTTCGTCTCGCTAATTACGTTTACGTACCTAATTAATAGCTAATTTGCTGCATTGTTTAATTTGCAGCAGAACGTTTGTTGATCCTTTTCTCCTGAGAGCCTAAGCATAACATATTTAATATATTTCATTTTCCTTAAAATATTTTACCGAATATTATTAAGTGGTTTTATTTCAAATGAAATAATAATTAAAACGAAATTGGTGTTGTACAACCGATTTATTTTATGATGATCTACCATACTACATGATAATCAATGACGTCATCTTACCAAAAAATCAAAAGACGTAGAATAAGGATTTATAAAAACTTAGCATACTTATTGACCTATCCCCCACTCTTCAAACCATTCCTGTCATCCAACTCTCGTCGTAACCTTACCATTCACAAACTTCCTCCTTCCCTCCTTTCACAAACATCAATTTACCGGTAAGTTCCACTGTGATTTATGCGTCTTAACGTAAATTCATGGGTTTTCCCCCATATTCATGGCATAGTACATGGATATGGGTTTTCCCATGTTGTCTTGCTGTAAAAGTGGCCACCGGTCTTAGTTAGGACGGCCGGTTTGTTTTGCGCGGCGTAGTTAGGTCGCCGCCCTCCTCGCGAGGCCGGTAACGTAAGTTAGGGCCACTAAAAAAAAGCAAAACGTTTTCTGGTATTTAGTGTAAATGGAGTTGGAATATGGCCAAAATTAAATTGACAGCTTTTAGGTGAAAGGTGGTGATTTGGGTGAAGGGACGAGTAAACTACTGGGTTATTTTGCACCCATTAAATGAAACTTCTGCTCCAATTCTACCCATTGAACCTCAATATCATGATCCACCTGTCCATCACTAGGTATCCTTCCTTATTACATAGAAACTTTGAATGGCATGGCAATTTATAATTTTAAATGACAATATTTTTATGTTTCTTCTGTAGGTAGGTAGGTAGGTAAGTAGGTAGGTAGGTACACCAGACTGCTATGGACACTTTTCCAAGTTGGTGGGGCAAAAAACCTAATGTATGTCTTGGTTTGAGTCGTTTGATTGAGTTGATTGATTCCTTTCATTGTCGCGTTTGAGTCGATTGAATCAATTCCCGAAAACTGCTCTGACTTGATTGATTTGATTGGTTTCCCAAATTTGTCGTGATTGAATTGATTGCTATTGATTGAGTCGTATACAACCCTGAACCATACATCATCCGTTAGCTCCCGACGCGTTGCGTGACCGGGTGGTGTACCGGAGAGACGTGGCGGAGAGAGATACGCGCGGTACGCTCTGCGGTATGCTGCAGCCGCCCCGGGTGCGACGGGAGTTCGCCCGGAAGTTTTATACTTACCGGGCGACGGCCGCGTGGAATCGGTCCCCCTCTGATGTTCGGGAGGCGAGGACCGCTCGGGGATGCCGGGGCGCCGTTAGGACTTGGTTGCGGGCTTCCAGCGAACATTAGGACGGTTTGTTAGACCGGCTGGCTGTGATGGTAAATTGGTAATATGTCGAGTGCTGATTCTATCCAAGTGTACATATGTATTGTATCTTGTATGACTCTTAGCCGTAAAAGCCATCTATGGAGGCTATTCGAAATACCTCATCATCATCATCATCATCATCAGCGCAAAATGTCAGACACCAGACATTCCTCGGTCCACATTCCATTACAAACACAGTCCTTGCACAGTCCAACCACCCCATGGAGCCGTGCCGGTGCGGCCCGGCGCGGCGGGGCCGGCTATGCCGAGTCGCGTCGCGAGCCGACCTTCAGCGGCCGGCGGTCTGCGCGCAGGGGCGCAGCCAGGCACTTACCGTTGGCGGTGGCTATCAACGCCGCAAGCACAATCGTCCCCAAATCATAACGCATGGTAATACACCCTTCTTGTACCACTGACAAATGTGTAGTTTCACAGCCGACAAACCCGTCCCACACGACACTCGCAGCGACTCCACCCGGGAGTACGTAGCCAATGACGTAGGGGTCCACACGGCGCGTCGGCTGCAGGGGGCGGCGATCAATGTCGACGTCACACATGTGAGAGTCTCTGATTGGCTCAGAGTGACTGCTGGCGACCTCTATACCACATGAGGTTAAATATTGCACGATAGCTCCGTTAGATGGCACGGCTCGTTCCCTTGCGAGGCGTTTGTGGCAGCATAGCCAAACTGCATGCGCTAGCGGGGTTTTTCTATTCGTCTATTGCCGTACTTCCTGTGCAATCGGAATTTACTGAGCAATCTGAGTCGTTTTCGTAGCCACCACAGTTACTTATCAGCGATTGCAAGAGACACCCACCATTTGTTTGAAGGTTTGAGCCCATAGATTCTGCGGCCGAAATAGCTCAGTTGGGAGAGCGTTAGACTGAAGATCTAAAGGTCCCCGGTTCGATCCCGGGTTTCGGCACCTTTATCCGGTGAAGAGGGATGCACCAGACTGAAGTACGCGTTCGTTGTTGGAGTTCACACAAGTCTGGTTTCGTGCCGCTGCTACGTCGAATCAACATTTTTATCACGGTGACTATAAATAATTTTTATCATATTTTTATTTTGTCACTTTTGATATTGCTAACTTGATATTGCTAGCGAACACATGGCTTTGTAGCACTACTGTAACACTGTTCAGTTAGTGTTGTTCACTGTTCACTGTTCACTGTTCACTGTTCACTGTTCAGTTACAGATGGGCGATGGCCCTGTTTGATCATCATGACATAAATGTTTTCTTTCCTCCATTTATTTGCACCCATGACCCAACGACCAACGGGCCAACAAGTCGTGTTACCAGTTTCTGTGCATCGATATGAAATCAAATATGTAAAGCGGATATTTAATTCGAGAAACTTATCCTTCATGAGTTTGCATGGACATCAAGGAATTTTCGCATCCCGTTACAACTCTTTAGTTTGGTATAAGTCTATAGGTATTGCTTGCCACTCGCCTGTGTGCAACGTTTTCCAGCGTCTCAAATTGTGCATAGGCGGCGGAACGGGGGGGGGGGGGGGCACCGGGTCATCCTTTGATTTTGGCATTTTATCATTTGGGCGTTGCATGGAAAGAATGGGACCAAAAGTCGGCAGTGCCCCCCCCCCTTGAATTGAAGGTGTTCCGCCGCCACTGCTAATGTGTAGGGGGGGGGGGGGGGCAGCTGGACCCCCTGCCTTTCGGCCCCTGATCGAGCTACAGCTTCGCGGAAAACGAAAGGAGCGTGTTGCCCGTGACGAGAGGGAGCCGGTGATACCCAATTTTTAGGTTCTAGGTATCTTCCAGGTCAGGTCAAGGACCCATATGTGGGGAAAATCGGGACCTGCTAGAACTTCGTAAAGTGTAGCTATTATGATATTTTTCGGGGCGCTGATCACGAATTTCGTGTTAGTTTTGATCACAGATTATGTCTTCGTGCATTTAGGCCCGGTCGGGTCAGGTCAGGTCAGGTCAATTAGTGTGCGTCCTGCCTGCTATCCACAGTAGGTGTCAACCACCACCAAGGGCGTCGTAACATGTTACGATGACGATGGCACCAACACTACTTCGTGAATGTTCAAATGGATGGTTAATTCGGAATCAGCGCAAAAGCTACCCTAGAAACATGTTAAAACCAGTATAACGCCTTTTGGGGCGTCTAACGGAGCGAGCGAGAGGGTGGGTCTTGCACGTGCGAAATTTCGAGGGGGTACCTCCAACTGACTTGTGCACAGCACCCTACTAACCGGTCTCTAGCGATGTGTCAAATTTGAGCACAATCGGCCCAGCCGTTCTCGAGATCTGGGAGCGGCACCCTGCACGTGCGCACGTGCAGAAAGGGTCCCAACTGACTTGTGCACGGCACCCTACTAACTGGTCCCTAACCGTGTACCAAATTTGAGCGCCATCGGTCCAGCCGTTCTCGAGATCTGGAATCGACCCCTGCACGTGCGCACGTGCAGCAGCACCCCAACTCTGGCACATGGATATGCAGTGCCTAGTGGGTGCCTACCTACATGCCAACTTTCAGCGCAATCGGCCAAGTAGTTACCGAGATATTGCAACAATTACAAAACTGACTTCTCTTCGTTTTGCACGTGGCACGTGCATAAGGGGTCACCCACATGCATCGGGAATAGTCCAATACTTGGTAGAAAGAATGAAGCTACCCTACAAAAATTACCGCGTGTAAATCGGTCAAGTGGTTGCTGAGATATAAGCCTCGCAAAAGCGTCCGCACGGCCGGCCGCTCATACTCAGAAATTTCCGTTAATCTAAGGAAAGACTCCGCTCGCTTCGCTCGCTCCGTAATCATGAAAACCAAGGTCATCAAAAGTCAATGACCTTGACCTGACCTTCAAGTGACCTTGAAACCCACCATAATGCATGGGATCAACATCATTTAACATGTTTGAGCGTTAACAATTCCAAAAAAAGACTGGAAACGCGCGGATAATGTAAACTGACACACGCCGAATCGCGATTCCGGCGAAACATGGTCTCGAGAAATAAGTCACAGGTCAAAGGTCATTTCGGTCAGGATCATGATTTTTTTAGGGCTAATGTAAAATTGATCAACTCGAGGGTGCTGAAACTTTCGTTGCGATCGGTCGCTTTGTGCGCGAGTCATTTGCAAAAACCGAGGGAGCTCCACCCCCCCCCCCCGTGCACTACATGTGCGAGGGTTAGGTACATTTCTTGAAATTTATGCGTTCTGCATTACGAATGAACGTCAACACCTATTCAGCAATCACGGGCGTGCCCATGACGCTGTATCGCTAACTTCCGTGGGAAGTGTGGGATGATCAAGAAGTTAAGCAATTGAGGCTGATCGTCATCACATTATCTTGCGGCGATTCTTCCAATTTCTCCTTGATGTCCATTGATGTCACTCTCCACAGAAAACTAGCCGGCTGTGCGTCTCCTCGACACAGTCCCCGGCGGATGTGATGTCACGTGGACTATCTCAGCTGGGTCTTCCTGTGTGCCGAGCTCAGTCGATCGCCCTCAGTCCTTTGTGCGCCTCCAGGGAGGTCAGGTCTAAGTCGGGTCATCCACAGCCGGCTCTGTGCTCCCTGGTGCACGAGCTCGCCGTCGGATCATTCTAGTGGTGTTCTTTCAAGAGTCTCCTAAACTTCTGTCATCATGTTTGACATCTTCGGCTCCGTCAAGGGCATGCTGAAGCTGGATGACGTCAGCACAGACAATCATGTGTTCCGTCTGCACTACAAGGTGACGACAGTGATGTTGGTGATATTCTCCCTTCTCGTAACCTCACATCAATACATCGGTGACCCGATCGACTGCTACAGCACCTCCAACATCCCCGACAACGTCTTCGACTCCTACTGCTGGATCCACTCGACATTCAGCGTGGAGCAGGCCACCAAAGCCCAGCGAGGATTTACCCCTCACTACGGAGTCGGCACAAAGCAGACCGATGACACCGTGCAGTATCATGCCTACTACCAGTGGGTCTGTTTCGTGTTGTTCTTGCAGGCGCTGATGTTCTATACTCCTCGCTTCTTGTGGCAGGGATGGGAGGGCGGTAAGGCTAGGATGCTAGTCATGGAGCTCAACTGTCCGATTGTTGATGAACAGGCCAAGGACGACCGCAAGGCGTTGCTAGTGGAGTACCTGACGTGTAACATGCACAACCACACGATGTACGCGCTCAAGTTCTTCTTTTGTGAGTTTCTAAACCTGGTGAATGTCGTGGGGCAGATCTTCTTCATCGACTACTTTCTCGACTACGAGTTCACGACATACGGCCTGCGCGTGGTGGAGTTTTCACAGAGCGCCTCTGAGGAGCGGACCGATCCGATGACGCTCGTCTTCCCCAAGGTGACCAAATGCAACTTCGAGACGTTCGGTCACTCGGGCACCCCTCAGGTCCACGACGCCATCTGCGTGCTCCCGCTCAACATCGTCAACGAGAAGGTGTACATCATCCTCTGGTTCTGGCTGGTCATCCTCACCGCCATCAGCGCCATGGCCAGCGTCTATCGCTTCTTCGTCGTCTTGTCACCCAACTTGCGGACGACGCTGCTGCGCACGCGCGCGCGACTGGCGCCTCCCGATCAGGTGAAGGCGGTGGCCGGTCGACTCTGGCTGGGCGACTGGTTCGTGCTGTACCAGCTCGGCAAGAACCTGGACCCGCTCATCTTCAAGGAGGTGCTGGATGATCTGGATCGTGCCGTCTCAGTCCGTGCCTGACCCGCCTTTGTCTGCGATTCACGGAGATTAGATAGAAACAAAATGGCGTCTGTGACGCTCACCGTACGAGTATTAAACCAGGAATTGTGCTTTTTATGGAATGGATATTGGTTGGCTTTTATGTGTTGGTGTTTAATTACATTCCAGCGTGTCTTTATATTGAAATATATTATACGTGCCACATTTGTGTTTCTTATTTCATTTTCCGATGAATATGATATTGCTTATTTACGAACAAACATTTACCGACATGAACATGATTAGACGCATTGAGCACTTAACTGGACAAAGCGGAACGCATGAGTTGCCCAACAGCATAAATATTCTGCGTATATGTTTATCATTCTCATTTGGAAATAAAAACTACGAATATTCTTCAATGACGTTTTGGAGATCACTTTAAATTCCAAGCATCGGTTTGTCGTCTCATGCTACGTTTGTGAACCTTAAATATCAAATCTCAATAAAACATAAATCATGTGCCTGCTCCTACAAGCCTGCTCGACTTTACCACAAAATTATGTTGAACACAAAACAAAGCTCATGTTCTGAATAAAAGATCGGCAATACTCGATGATCCAAATCGATCCGTTTGCCCTTTCCACGAAATTATATCGTCCCAATCCTGGAATAGCATCGTTATCTAATTGATTCACTAAAGTGACGTCATCCCACACGAGTGGCATCATGTATTAGCCGGGACTTTTCTGACGTAACATTTCCGACCACTGGTGGTTTAGGCCGAGTGGGATATGATGCAGTAAGCGAACCAATCGGAAGTCTTAGGTTAGACAGCCTGCCGAATCTAAAAAATGTCTGGTTTTCACTATTCAGTGTTCACTCATTTATTTACTTTCACCATTCTATATGCATGAGTGACAAGTGTATCGGGCATAATCCATGGGAATGAACCATGGTAACATGGATTTTTCCAAATAAAAACAGTTTGCAGATCCGCTGACTCAACAGGACCTGAATTTGTACTGGAACCCGTTTGGGTTTCATTAAAACTGTGGCGATTTACAGTGTGGAAATGTCTGACGATTTACATACGTCTGTGGGGCGTGGGCGAGCTGGTGAAATCCAGTTGAATCTATGCTATTGCTGGACGGCGGGCGTGCGGTGCGGATTTTTGCGTCGTTTGCGGGTGCGTTTCAGGCTGCGATGCGGGCGTTTTTGGCGTGTTTACGGTTCTTTTGTTTGCGCATTTGGCGGCGGGCGTTTTTGCGGAGTTTGCGGGTGAGTGTGTTGACAACCTGCAGTCCCGCGATGCGGAGCCCAGCATCGCAGATGTTATTGCTGGATTCCAACTGGGTCCGTTTGATCCCACCTCTGTCTGGACTTTGTCGTCGCTCAGGGACCCGAGTCGACGGTGATAGCTGTGATCTAGAGCCAACCGGAACTCTGAATCGCTCATCCGGCGTCTCCGACCGCCGGTTCCGGCGTCTCGCATTCGCGAGAAGTCGTTATAGAACGCGCACGTGACAATGTGCACACTGCACAGTGCACAGTGAGTGCACACGGTACTAAATTAGTGCCTCGTTGCGTTCATAGAAAAAATGGGTTGCCTGGGATATGATGGAATGATTTCTGGCGGTTAGAGTAACGCTCGCGGCCAAACGACGGCATGACTCTAGTTAGGTATCCCTCATCGATATTCGCATGATTAACAGCAAATGACACTGAAACTGTTCGTTATATTTCACAAGCTAACAAAGGTTTCCACGATACGGTGGGTAGACAGTAGACATTCCAGAAGTCGAGGATGTCCATCTGCACCGTCCCGGCACTCAGTCTGGGCGGCACGGGAGACGGAGACCGCGGCGGCGACAGGCGCTATCGGTCGGAACTTCCCGTGCTTCTGCAGACGAGCCCCGCTTTGAAGACGCTCCGAGCTGCCACGTGCATGTTTTCGACCATGTTCTGGTGTGCTGGAAAACACATAGGAAGCCTTGTAATCACAAACATTCAACGTTTCCTTACGAATGGGTCAGCCATGCAGTAGACGCGCTTACCTTTCACAGCTCGCCTCTTATTATGCTATTACCTACAAATATCATTCATATGACTATTGCCTATTACATATTATGGGTCGATCAGAAATACATTGAGCCATTTTATCTCTTTTACTCTACATAAAATACGTCGGCTTACGTGACTTAACATACGTGAGTTATCGGCTTTTATCCTACACGTAAAGCTCAAGAAAAATTTATTAAGTAAAAGATAAACTAGACAAGTCAATATTACATACCTATTACTGCCATAGACTACTGTACCGTATATGGAGTAGTCTATGTTACTGCTTGTTGTTAACCCGCGCCCCGCTGGTGGGGGGGGGGGGAGCAGAATCTGCCCCCTCCCGTTTTTCGCCAATAACTTCTAAACGCGTTACGCCAGCGACGTCAAACTTTCAGTACCTTATCATACATCAATTTGACACGTTCCCTGAAATTTGAGCGAAATTCGTCGGAAACTTTTTGAGAAAATGACGTTTTAGTGACGTCATGTTCGCCACTTTCGCCTAAAAAAAAACGGGAAAATTTCAAACGCCGCTAACATCTTCATTTTTAAAGGAATCAAGACGTAACAAAAAAGGTTATACGTTATTCTACTTTGTCTATCAAATGGCTATCTCCGTTTGTTAAACATTTTGGATTTTGGCCTAATTTTTTAACTTACTTTTTTGGGAAAATAATTATAAAATCCAAAACTTTACGTGTATCGAAAAAAGGTATACATGTCACAGAAGTGGTCTATGTGCAACTACATACCAATTTTTAGAAGAATCGGTTCAAAAATGTGGGAGTTATTCAAAAATTTATGACGTCACGACACACAAAATTTTTGATTTTTTTTGGAAGTGCTAGACCACGTATGGAAGCAAAAATAGCACCATTCGATTTGCCGTGAAAAACTGCATCAGATAGACACCTTTTTAGGCCTTAACAACCAACTTCAAAATTTAACCTCACTTGACCTGACCATGACCTGACCTCGACCTGAAATTTATCCATAGGTGGTCCATATCACTTATTGAGTGTGCCTATTGAATTCTATGAATAAAATGACCCATAAAACATGTGTCGCACATGCCCTTTTCTATATTTTGTTTTTGGTGACCTGACCTGACCTGACCTGACCTTGACCTTGACCTTTGAATGATATTGTATGCAACGAATATTGTTTTGGTAGTCTAAGAACACGTTTTGGACAATTAGTCTCAGTCCATTGTTCGGCAACTACGGTGCAAGGCCGATACTGTAGAAACTTGCATTTTGTACCCTTGACCTGACCTTGACCTGGCCTCTGACCTACTTAAGAAAAAAAATGGGCTCTTAAGATCCGCTTTGTTGAGAGCTTTCGATTGCCGTTTTCCCCGTCTTTCTACGACCATCGGTTCGGAAGTTAGACAGGGGGGGGGGGGCAGAATCTGCCCCCCCCCCCCCCAGGAGGGCGCGTATGGCTGAATAGCCCAGCGGGGCGCGGGTTAACTCGTTACCATTTTGAGGCTTTGAGCGCAGTTTCGTGTAAAGAATGCATACAAGCAAATCAGTTGTTCCTTTCAGAATGTTCTCACAAAGTGAGAACATAACGATGTGCATTTCACTTTGCATAAGTATTAAGTTCTGAAACGAACAACTGATTTATTTTTATCCCTCTCTTAGCCAGGATGACACACGGCTGTTAAATACCTTTCAGCGATAGGTATTGACAATTTACTGCGATGCTATTTGACTTACATAATGTGAAAAAACACGAAATGATTCATAAATTACCATTGACTCACAAAATGATCAACAAGACTACAAAATTATGGCAACAGCTATTCAAAGTGACAACATTTTTCTGTCCACGTGAAGCACGAGGTAAGAAGAGGTCAGCCTGATGTCACCCTGTTGCCCGATGTCCGGCACGTGGAGCCGGAGGGATACGGCGGACATCGCCCTGGAGAGTCGTCACTTGCCGGCAGAGTGTCTGATGACATAACGTTCATTATGCGACACATTTAATCGTGCCTCGAAACAGCGGTTATCGCAAACTCTTGCCGGTGTCTGACGACTTTCCAGAACCCATGATGCCCTATAATCATGGCCTATCTATGCCTACCTCCCTATCTAGTGCCCTTTGCCTACGTGACTACTTGCCTACCTACCGAGCTACCTGACTTAGGTCAAGCAAGTAACAAACAACAAAACCAAATTCTTTTATATCATTTTTAAACCAGTAGTATTTTAGTCATAAGTGAATCAGATAAAGACCAAGCTATAGATCCTGATCCTGGAATCAAGTCTTCTCCAACAACAAATCAAATCAAATCTAAGCTAATATCATCAACCTGCATTAACCAAACCAAACATACAAAGCGATACATTAAATGCTCCCCAAAGACTTTCTAATTATATTTATCATTAAAACCAGCATTCAAACAAGTGATAGACTGACCGGCCCAACAATCAATAAAATGATACAGTAGAACACAAAGTTAAATTCAAGGAGTATAGTTTTAACAACTGGAAATAATAAAAAGAATATTGTTTGTAGGGACATAAAAAACACGAAAGACCATAAGCCACACAAATATAAGAATCATATTTTCACCTTACATTAGCAAATTGTTTAGATCTTGGTTGAAATATTTCCACTTCACTGATAGCTGTACGCAGCAAAACATTCGCGTCGCAAAAGCAAATCTTTAAAAGTATTTCGGGCATGGCGTCTGCTTGCAATGGCTAACGGGCGTCCGCAAAATTAAGTGAGCGCAAAACTGCCGCAGCACCAAAATCGCGATAAGAAACACCTCAGCAAAGTCTGCTCAACACTCCATAACCCGCCAATTTTAAATACAATCCATTACATACAACTTGATAGGAGGGTATATGGAATATGTTATATCCTACCATGGCCTGGGCTGGCCTACCATGGGCTGTACAAACTTAAATGTTGAGAGCTTGCATAAGTAGCCCTTAAGCATGTCCCTAACACACAAATAATAACAAGAACTGACAAAGATATGCAGAATACTCATTAAAGGGACAGTATCATCGAAAAAATCAATGTATGGAGCTGATTTTTTTTTACTAGCATTTCTTATTTTTCTGAATCAGAAAAACATGGTTTGAGGACCGAACTCGGTGAAAAATATTTTTCATGAGCGAGTCATTTTCATGAGCGAACCACCACTACAAG